TTTTAATAGCTGTGCTTCTAGATTTTGGAATTTGTTACCTTTGGATATTTGCCTAGCCTTTTCCCTGTCCACTTAAAATTAAGATGAATATGTACCCATTTTCCTTAATGACTAAATTTTACTTGTAAAAGCAGCTTAAGATGTTTGCATGAAAGGTGCCATAGATGCATAAATTGTATTATATTGTGTAGTATATAACAGGATAAGAGAGGAGTATAGTTTAGTGGTTAGAGATCTGGACTGATAGGCATGACTTCTGGTTTCACCATTGACTTACTGTGTGACTTGTGCAAGTGACTTCACTTCTATATGCCCCTGCTTACCAGTAAAATGAGTATTATAATCTCTACTTCACAGGGCTGTTATGATACTTAATTAATCAGAACACAGCAGCCTGTCTGCTCCACAGTATAGGCCACTGAGCACAAACTACCCCAGTCCTCTATTCTTTTCATTGGCTCCCTGTTGAATACTGGGTTAAATTCAAGGCTTCATTCCTCATTCAAAGGTCTCCACAGCATTGGTTCTGCTTACCTGGGGAACTGTCATGCGCTGTGAGATAATGACCTCCCATGAAGGGTGACCACCTTTTCAGAAGGAAAAAGCAGGACACATGCAGGAGGCTCCCCTGTGGTCCTACCCCTTGCCCCTCCTCTTCCCCTGATCCCCCGCCCCCTGCTGCTCCTCATTCCCCCCCAAGGCCCTGCCTCTTGGCCAGGCTGGGAGCTGGAGCTAGGCTGTGGTAAGAGCTGCCAAGGAAGCCTGGGCAGCTGTGGGAAGCCCCAGACCCTCCAGCTGACATGGGCAAGATGCTGGGGTACCAGAGAGCATCCCCCGGCATGTGCCCTGCTCCCCCAGGGCACCCACTTCAGCCCTGCCCCACTAAGAAGAGGCTGGCACCACCCCTGAGCCTGAGGCAGGTGCGGAGTGGTGCCTTAGAGAATCTGGCACAAATGCTGTACTGGAGTCATTTTGCTTGGGACTGGGACTTGAACTCTGCATTTCGGGACTATCCTGCTCAATTTGGGACAGGTGCTCACCCTACTCCCATGACAGCTACATTCCATTAGAATAAAGGAACTGTTAACCACAAGAATGAGACTCCTGAGTGCAACAGAAAGAGCTTTCTCTGAGACTTACCCATGAATCTGGGACTCACTCTCAGAAGACATCAGGATGACCTCAGCTGCAGAGCAAAATGCAAAACCCCACTTCTTCAATCTAGTCTTCTTATAACCACATCCCATCCCCTTGCCTGAAATGCAGTCCCTGCACATAGGGCCAGAGGGGAAGAAAGAGGGAACCATATGTGCACTCTTTATAATTTTGTGAGCTGCTTGGATACCACACTGATGTGTTCAGTAAAAGACAGCGGACAGATAGATAGGATTAGACAGAATTATGTCTGTACCTTTAAGGCCTAGATTGTGCCTTTAAGGTCCATACCTATTTTAGAGGTGTGCGAGGGAGCCAAGTGGCTGAGGAAGATCCAGAATTCTTCCATGGGCTGCAGGGAACAAATGCTGTAGCAGGAGATTTACTACCCATTTTCAGAACACAGTATGCATTCCTCTCTGCTCCATGGCCAGCCCCACCCGCAGCCTGTCCTCTTTGGAAACATTACTGTCACTGCCTATGCTAGCCTAGTATCTGTTATCCTCAAGCCATGCTGAGATAGATCCCTGCATCAGAACAAAGAAGGGGTCGGGAAGGCTCCTTAGACCATCTCTTGCCTCTTGTGCACCTCTGCAGGGCCAGACACAATCTGGCCCTTATGTATTTGTCAAGTATTTGTGACAGTTGCATGAGAGGTGGTAAGGAAGCTCTGCTCTCTTTCTTGGTGCAGGCCAAGAGAACAGATGAGAACATTTTGTGCTTTGCCATATTTAAAAGTATTAAAATATAACAATATACAGTTTATGGGTACAATATATTTATATCTATATATGGCAAAATCTTATTCATCGTACTTATTTGAGTAGTTGAATTGAAGTCCAAAGGACTGTTCATGTTAGGCAAACAGGTTCTGGCCCAATTGTCTTGTATCTTATCTATATACTGTATACATATGCCATCTCTTAAATAGCAGATGCGAGAGCTCTGCTGGAATCCTTACTCCTGAAGATCAGATGCTGGGTCAGCATTTTGTTCTTCCCTTCAAGTTTCTAATCTTAGCGAGAAAGGAATGGGAAGGGGAAAATGGTCTTTATAAATTGAGGCTAAAAGAGCAAAAGGATGGATTAGAGTTGTAAGTGGTACTGTGACTGCATTAAACAGTGGTGGGGGGAACTCAAGTTCATTAGCTCTGCTTTCACTTTCATAGGACAAGACTCTGCAGGGACTAACATGAAGGATGTCAAGCATAAAAGGAATAACTGGTGTTATCAAATAAAGAATGAAACGCAATAGGAAAAATAGACGGTGAAAAGGTTTTAGCAGATGCTGCTGCAGCATTACATCTCCCCTTAAAATTATAACAGAAATATGGAGAAAAGCCATATTTTTTCTTCCTGGCCTTGTTTCAGCTCAGAAACAACAGTACATGGTGTGAAGTGGGATGAATGAAACAACTGTATAAAATACTCATAGATTTGAATAGTTTAGATGCAATTTTAATAAGTATGGAATACACTCGATGTACACTTTGGGGCAGGGGCCATGTCTTCTTACTTGTTTGTATAGAGCCTAGCAAAATGGACCCGATGCTAACGGTATTCTCTGGGTACTACTTGGATAGAAATAAGTAGTAATTATACATTATTATTACACAGAAGGAAGAGAGAGGCCTTGAGTGTTATTGTGCCTGAGAAATTTTATTAAAACAAGATATTAATTAATCTCCTGATTGTGGATATGCCCTATAAAAGAGAGAGGGTGAAATCTTATCCCCATTGAAGTCAATGACAAAATTGCTAATGACTTCAGTAGGAGTAGGATTTTACCTATAACCTGGAGAACTGCTCAGTAGTGGACTGAAAGATAATAGAGGGCTCTATTATATCTGTCTCTTATTTTATTACTTCTTAACCTCTCTTTGATAAGTTAAGTAGACTTTGTATCAGCATAATTATTTTGGCGAGGGCGTGATTTTTTTTAAATTTATTTTTTACCAAAAATAGTTATATGGGTACAACCCCAAGTGTGCCTTACACTGGCATAGCTTATTTACCTTCCTGTGGGAGAACAGCTGTACTGGGTTATAAAACACCTTTGCACCAGTATAGGTGAAGTGGTACAGCTTGTGTACAGACAAGTCCTAAATCCATCACTGTAATGTGTTTTCCACACCACACGTCATGCTTGTAACTTCTTACAAATCTTTCTCTAATTTTTCAACATACTTCTTAAAGTGTGGACACTAGTACTGTTTCATCAATGCCATATATTTCTACTTAGTATTCCCCTGTTTATATATCCAAGGATTGTGTTAATCCTTTTTACCACAGCATCATACTGGGAGCTCATGTTCAGTTGGGTTTCTACAATGACTTCTAAGTTCTTTTCAGTCACTGCTTTCCAGGATATAGTCCGTGATCCTGTAAGCACTGCCTACACTCTTTGTTCCTAGACATATGACCTTGTGTACAACACCAAGGTAAGTGCTAATGACTCCTAATATGCAAGTCAGAATTTAGATATTCATTGTTATATTTTTGTTTTACATAAAAAGGCAATGAACTAAGAAAGGGGACAAAGCAACCAGAAATCCAAGGAGAATGAGGCAGGATGGTTTTATTCTTCTTCAACAGAAGGCAGAATACTTGCTCAGAGTGATCACAAAGTCAAATTTTCTACTCTTACTTTGAAAGGGCTCAGGAAGATGGGATCTGGTTGCTGAAAGTTATGATAGGATTACGTGATTTTAAAATAATGTTGTTATAGTTTGTCTATTGATTGATCAATCGTAGGGTTTTATACTACTGCCCATCACCACAGTATCTAAGCACCTTTTGTGTAATATAGACTGACAGTAACAAAGCCCCTAGTGAACTTAATGAAATCTTTCTTATTGGGTTATGAAAAGCTATGTTGTATGGTTTCTGTCTGTCTGTTTTGGGGGAGAGAGAGTGGTTGATGTGGTAATGGGGGAAGAGTTTATCAAACAGGAAAGTATTACATTTCCTACAGGCAGTCACCGTTGTGTGAGGGTGTTACATGAGTGACAACTGGCACTGATTCTGCAGACTCTCAGGAGAGTAACTTTATGCATGCAAGTAGCCTAAATTATATCAGTGGGATACGGGTGCAGTTATGACATTATTCTCCTGAGTAAATGTTGGCAGAATTGGGCCTTAAGGTAGGCCTGGGATAATAAAGTTAGATAATAGATTTACATTGGTATGTGAATGAAGCTAAACTACACATGTAAATAAAAAGCTGGGGGAAGAAAGCCCCATTCTAGACTCCCAAACCTGAAGACTGCAAAGGCTGCTTTTCTGGGGAGGAAATAAATATACAAATAAAAACTTTATTTTTTGTTTTGTTTTCACAGTGAAAACATATTAACAAAAAAAGAGGATATTTTTGTAGTTGTGTGTATTTCAGAAAGTGTAACAATGAGTCCAGTTCTGTAGGTGGATGGGTGGGTAGATGTATGATGTGCTTGGATAAATTGTCGATGAATAGCAGAGCAAATCCTTTGCTGAACTAAGGTGTGACATTCTGGCACACAGGGTAAAAGTATTGCCCTGGGGAGCTGCATTAATTTGTAATTATATATATATTTTGTAATTGTGTTTACTGTCTTTGGAATTACTTTCCACAGACAGCTTTATTTCTGTATTTGAGATTATAATACATGTTCTCTATAGCATTATTCTTTCCTGGCTATACCCAGGAACTCTGTGTAAATGAAGAGAGTCCACTGTTTTCCCAGGGAAAATGAATTAACGGACCGAGGAAAAGCATTTTATACTAAAAACTGTTCTCTGTTCTCCATTTAAATGCCCTCTTTTTCATAATGAAAAAATAATTTGATACCGATTCAGAATACATTTTTTCTAAATTGTATTTAAAATAACTAAATTTGAGCATCAAGACATTTTGGCCCTATTTTCACCCTTCTCTCCCCAGTCTGCAATGGAAAAGTTTGAGAAGCAGAAGGGTTAGAGTGGGGGATTGAGAATCAGAAGTCATTTCTAATCCTTGCTGTGACTATTACTCACTGTATGAACTTGGGCAAGTTATTTAACCTCTCTGCCTTGGTTTCCCCTTTAAAAAATAGAGCCCTGGCCATGGGGCTTGAATGGTGTGAGGCATTAATAAATTAACAGTTGTGAAATATTTTGAGATATTTGGAAAAAAGTGTTCATGAGTACACATTAAAAATAACAGTAGCAATACCTTGTGCAAACATGCATAAATAATTTCCAGACAGTAGGTATGGAATACAGGGCTGCTCTCAAGCAGTGAGTGACAATTTTGAATGAGTATGACTTCAAGCAACGGGTGAGTTCTACTGGAAACATTTCAGTGCAAAATATTCTTCATCACAAGAGGGAGATACTTCAGTAAAATCCATTCAAAAATGAAGGCGTCTCCTTGCAATTGTAAATGGAGCACGACCTCTCCAGTGAGGGCTGTGAAGAGTTAAATCAGACAGTTTCTAAGTGTTGTAGTCTCTCCTCTTCTCTTCCCCACCCTGTTTTTTTCCCCTCTCTGCTCTCTCTCTCCTTCTAGTTTTGGCAGGGGATTAAAGTAGCTCCCCCCTGTGGCAGCAGTGACCCAGAAATGAGTTTGATTCACAGAGTCCTTCCTCCATAACAAGTAAAAACGTCAGTCTGTGTGTCTGTGTGTGTGTGTGTGTGAGAGAGAGAGAGAGTGAAGGGAGCCACAATCTGCTCCCACTTTCCCGTGCTTGTCTGAACTCATGAGGCAGCACAGACCCCTTCGCGCAGAGAAACTCCAACCTCACTGGCAACCATCGCGGCGGCAGCAGCAGCAGGTAACTGTGTCCAGATTCTGACTTTCCTCCTCGCCGCCGCCGCCGCAGAGTGAGCAGGGGGAGCAGCCAGCACAGCCATATTTGATGGGTTTTTGTTGCTTTGCTTTGGAGTTCTCCAGAAGCAGCTAGAGAGCAATTTAATGCCGAAGGTCGCTGCCGAGTGGAAATAATATAGTACGTCATTAATATGGCGCCAAAAGATTTGCTTCTTGATATGGAGCGAGAGGAGGCAGTTGAGTTGCAGCTTCACTATCCCACAAGCAACTTGTGCATTGCTGGGGAGGGAGGGAGCGGTGGGAGGAGGAAATAGATGATTATTTTGCAGCTTTGAGAAACGATGGGATGTAGGGAGTGTTGTGCTAGCTGGTTTTCATTTTGCTGCAGACTTTGCAGTGGCAAATAAGGCTCTTGCAGCTTTCAAGGTGCACCAGCTAAATTAACACAGTTTTGCACGTAGATTTTTTTTATTTTATATGCATTTGACCTGGCTGTAGTTGTTTTTTTTTTAAGGAGAGTGGGAAGGGGGTTACCCTGAATTAATCAATGCTGTATCAGCCGAGTTGAAAAGTAAAAAGCATGGTATCAACTTGGTAGACAGATGGCAATGGCAGAGCGCAGGTCCTTTTAGATATAGACCTATAGACGGGGGGAGGGGTGGCCATGGCCGGTATCTGTCACTGTGTCACCCACATGTCCAAAATATCCATTGCATCAATTCAAGGGCGGCGAGGGTGTTAGTTTGTGTGCAGGCAGCTTTGCAATTATGTTCACCCAAATCATGGATTTTACTTGCAGTAGTTTTAAAAAATGCTTGGAAAGTATAAAACCGTTCACCGGTGAAATTAGGCAGAAGTTTCCTTTTGGAGTAGGAGAGCGTTGGCCAATTAGTCGTGAACTCGATGCGATTGTGATTTTAGGCACTAATAGGCATTTGTTGAGGAAGTGGAGGGGTTTAGTATTGTGCCACAGACCCATTTATTTTCACCCGAGTGCAAGTGTACAGTAGCTCCTGCTGGAGAGCAAGTTGTAACAGCCTGGACGTGCACGTGTTGGGAGAGTGTGAGTGTATGGAGGGAAGGGGGGGGGTGTGCGTGTGTGTGTCTGAGTAGGGAGGAGGCGGGGGGTGGTGGTTTGGCTGCTCGGGCTCTGCTGGGTGGCAGCAGATTCTCTCGGTGCCCAGCGCTGCTGCTGGTGAGAATGATGAATGCGGGCAAGGGCTGGAATGGGGACCCGCGATTCCGTCCCGCCTGAACGGTCTCGTTTGCTGCAGAGATTCGACACCCCGCTAGCGTCCCCCCCACCCCCCCGCGGGGGGGAGGCGGGATTTGCCTCATCGGGCTCCTCTGTGCTGGGTCTGGGAGGGGGAAGGGGCTACTGCAAGCAGGTGCACGGCGGCTGCAAGAGCGGCCAAGAGGCTTCTGAACTTCTCCATTCAGTGCGATCCTTCCCAGTTCCACCACCCCATTCCCGCGGAGGGCTGGCGAGTTCAAATCCACGCGGGGGTTCATTGCACAAGCAAACACGTGCGGGTGCTTGCTACCAACTTCTGCAAGCCATTTTCATTCATTCAGGCAGAGATCGGGGGCTAGATTCTGCCCACAACTACCCCGTGCAGTCGCATTCAGACAGGGGTGCCCCTTGAATAACCCCGATTCTATTATGGGCACTTAGAATTAGATCTTTGGGGTGGCACATTAATTTCCCAAATACTACGGTGATGGATACTATTACTGTGCATTAAAATAAATAACAGGACAATTCATAATAAGTAGTATAACCATAGTAAATACAGTGAATTGCAATGGCTGTTACCGATGAAGCTCTTAAATTTCCCAGGCGATATTGAAATGCATATGTAGTTGTAAGGATATACTAATGAAATCAAGAGGGTGGTTCAAAATGTCTGTGAGATTGTACAGGTGTAAGGGAAGATTTTGGCTCTTAATAGCTCTCCCTCTCCCTTTGGCAAGGCCTTGACAAGGAAATGGGTCTAGGTTATGGTGTTTTCAAATAACCGCCTCATTTCGATCTAACGGGCCATCCTTGGCGTCCCCAGAGTGCAGCGCTGGCGATTATTCCAGTTGCTTTGAAATTAGACAAAGCCGCCCTGCTCCTGCTGCTCGTATCCCTGGACTCTGCTCGTTGCATGCTCAGATTTTGCAGATTTTCAAGCTTTGGGTCTTGCTTTTTTCCCCCTTCAGTATTCCTTAGCAGTTTATGGTGCGGATTTTATTATTCTGGGGGAGGTTGGTGGTAGAGGGTGGTGTGTGTTTGTTTGCACCGCCTGGTGGATGGTTTCCTGTGACAAGAGGTGATACACAGTTTCCAGAACTGTCTGGCAGTGGGAGGAGAGACCGACAGAAAACAAGCTCAAGTCTCAGTGCTGCTGCGAGTCAATCCTAGTCTAAACCGTCCCCCACCTCACCCTCCCCAGACATTGCAACATGGAGAGCGGGGGGTGGAGATGGGGGGGGGGGTTGCATGGCTGTAGCAATGGTATGGATTTGGGAAACAGGGAGCTGAGCTCGGGGCATCAAGTTTGATTTGCAGCTGAGGCTGAGCGGATTGGTGCATCTGGTTGGAGGGGAGGAGCAGAGGGAGAGGGACAGGAGGGGGTGGGGGAGATCTGCTCAGTTTCAAACGGAGGCAGACAGGGAAGGTGCGGATGAGATGGGATTTTTGCCTGCTGTGTACGAAGGTGCTATAATCGCTAGAAGGGTTTAGTCCGGCGACAGCAGCGCTGAGTGCGGGGGGGGGGGGGGTAATACTTTCTTCCCGGCTTCTCCACCTCCCTTCCCAGTCTTTGTTTGTGTCGGATGCCTCCGACCGGACCTCACTGTAGGAGCCGCCTCCGCGGCGAACCCTCGGCCCCAGAATTGCTAAGGCTAGCGATAAATGAGCCCTGTGTTGTGTGGATCGGGAAAGCTGGGTGGGTTTAGGAGACATGACTTTACCTCTTAGCAGCTTGCTGCCCCAGCATGCTAGGAGCTCCGGGTGGGAACGTATATTTGAACCAGAAAGATCTGAAAAATAAAGGGTGAGGTTTTAAGAATACAAGCAGCAAAATTGCTTCATTACCAGAAAAGCAGACTTTAAACATGGCCTTAAAATGAGCCTTCCAAATAAGGAAGCCTTCCTGTAACTAAGACAGGTCTAGATTTGCAGTCCACTATCCCAGCAGTGAATATTTGTTTTGATCACACATGCAAATTATTAAAGTTATTAAATTATTTTTTGTCAGTTATTTAGCTTTCAAGAGCTCTGATCTTGGGAACTAAGGTGTCAGTATAGGAGGTTTTGGAACAAATTGATAAGTAATAAGTCACCAGAGCAGATGGAATTCACCCAAGAGTTCTGAAGAAATTTAAATATGAAATTGCAGAACTATTAACTGTGGGATGTAACCTATTGCTTAAATCAGCCTCTGCATTACTGATTTTTTTTAAAGATTCCAGAAATGATCCTGGCAATTACAGTCCAGTAAGCCTAACTTCCGTACCAGGCAAATTGGTTGAAATTATAGTAAAGAATAGAATTATCAGACACATAGATGAACACAGTATATTGGTTAGGAGTCAACACGGCTTTTGTAAATGGTGAGGCATGATTTCTCATTTATTAGAATTTTTTGAAGGTATAAACAAGCATTATGTGGACAAGGATGATTCAGTTGATGTACCTGGACTTTTAAAAATACTGACAAGGTATTACACCAAAGGTTCTTATGCAAACTAAGCAGTCATGGGATAAGACGGAAGGTCTTCTCATGGATCAGTATCTGGTTTAAAAATAGGAAACAAAAAAGGGTAGGAATATTAACAGTCAGTTTTCACAATACAGTAGAGAGAGGTAAATAATGGGGTCCCCCAAAGAGTTGTATTTCTATCTGTGTTCTTCAGCATACCCATTAATGAATTGGAAAAGAGTGGATGAATAGCGAGGTGTCAAAATTTGCAGATGATGCAAAATTACTCAAGATAATTTCGAAGCTAACTGCAAAGAGTTGCAAAAGGATTTCACTAAACTGGGTGACTGGGCAATAAAATGGCAGATTTATATGCAGGTCTGTGTAGCTTGAATGCTTGTATCTCTCACCAACAGAATAAAAGATTTTACCTCCCCCGCCTTATCTCTTGTAAAATTGCAGATGAAATTCACTGTTGATAAATGCAAAGTAATGCACATTGGAAAAAAATAATCCCAATGAGAGATACAGAATGATTGGGTGGTAACACTCAAGATCTTGGCATCATTGTGGATAGCTTTCTGAAAACATCCGATCAGCGTGCAGCAGCTGTCCAAATCACACAAAAATGTTAGGAATCATTAGGAAAGAGATAATAAAACAGAAAACATTGTAATGCTACTGTATAAATCTGTGGTACACTCACACATTGAATACTGTGTGAAGTTATGGTTGCCCCGTCTCAAAAGAGGTTTATTGGAAATGGTAAAGATACAGAGGAGAGCAACAAAAATGATTAGGGGGATTGAAACAGCTTCCATAAGAGGAGACATGAATAAGGGCTGAGACTGTTCAACTTAGAAAAGAGATGACTGAGGGGGGAATATGAATGGTGTGGAGAAAGTGAATAGGGAAGTGTTGTTTATCCCTTCACGTAACACAAAAACTGGGGTCACCCGATGAAATAAATAGGCTGCAAGCTTAAAACAAACATAAGGAAGTACTTCTTCACACAATGCACTATCAACCTGTGGAACTCGTTGCCAGGGGTTCTAAAGGCCAAAGCTGTAATGGGGTTCAAAAAAGAATTAAATACATTCATGGAGGATAGGCCCATCAATGCTTATTAGCTAAGATAGTCAGGGATGCAGTCCCATGCTGTGGGTGTTCCTGAATCTCACTGCCAGAAGCTGGGCCTGGACGACAGGATGCATTAATTGATAATTGCCCAGTTTTGTTCATTCGTGCATTGTCTCTGAAGCATCTGGCTTTGGCCACTCTCAGAAGACAGTATGCTGGGGTAGATGGACCATTG